CCTCCACCCCCTGAACCGGTCAGAACCAGGGGTGTATCAGAAATCCATCGGCATGATACATACAGGCCAATACATATCGATACTTTGAACCTTGAACAAAAGTTAAATATAGGGACTGACACAAAAAAGTAAAATGTTGACTCTATTCATAGGAGTGAAAAGCAAAGAGACAGCTATAGGTACAGGTTGAACCTATACAGGGACTGACTAACACTCAACTAGCCAACTACAACTTGTCAAAAATGTAGGGAGCATATAGGTACAATTTTAGGCTACAAGCATTAATTTTGGTTCGGTTTAACTAAAACCGATTAAACCAGTGTTACATAAAATGAAATTTAAAATCGGTTTTCTCTCTTTATCAGTCGGTTTCGGTTCGCCTCAAATTCAACCCGACTTTTTCGATTTGGTTGACAAAATCAAGTGCAACCGAACCAAACCAACCCGTGAACAGCCCTAGAAGAAGAGGCCTGGGCAGTGGTTTAGAATGAGAAGGATCGTCGTGGAAGGAGACTCTAAGTTGGTTATCAATTGTCTTCGAGGGATAGCAACCCCATCATCAAAGAATGTTATTAAATTTGCAATAGGTCCAAATTGATGGTGGACCGGATTAGACGGTCAGACCAGTTGACCTAGGATCTGTCTAGGCAACAGGTTTCATTTCACCCTAAAACTGTTCTTGGGCCAAAAACTGTTGACTTGATCAGTGACCCAATGACCCATTGACCCTGGTAATCAAATCATTGACTTGGACAACGATTTTTTGTTTTTTATTTTAATTATTTTTTTTTTCAATTAGAACACACCATCCATTCAAACTGAATGGTCGAACTACTAACTTGGAAACCAGTGATCAAAGCAATTCAAGTTTCGGGTCAGTTTTTAAAACATTGTGTTACATACAAGGTTTTTAGAACTAGATCAAACAGGGAACCATTCTAGGTCCAGTTCCCGGATCAAATGGTCTGACCGTCTAGTCCAAACGGATGACCCGCTCTAACAAAAAAATTAAAAATTAAAAAAAAATAAAAAAAACAAAAAAATGGCTAAAAACCGTTCCTGGGTCGAACGATTCAATAGTTTGACTGCTTGGGTCAGCGTTTCACTGACCAAATCAACGGTTTTAACAGAACCGGTCAGGTGTCTAGTTCCTCGTTTTTCTGGTCCAACCGTCCCAGACAGTCCGGTTTTGAAAACATTGGTTACATACATGCATACTCTAAGAGAAGCCAATGGTGCTGCTAACTAGCTAGCTAGCTGGCCATGGGCACTCGAACTAAGTCTCATCCTCACATTTCCGAAATAGTTTGTTTGCTTATGTTTGCTTTAGGTGGTGTTCAATGGTGTGAATTGGCCATGATATATTCAGTTTCAATCCACACCACCTCTATGCCATGCGTTCGGTTGGTTGTGGTGTGGATTGATCCACACTCTCATGGATTGGTCTACACCATAGTTCATTTTCTCATCCACGGGTATATCTCATGAAAGCATCTACACCACACCGTTTTGCATATAGAATAACGATCTTATACTTCGCATGGATTTTTAACCCTAATATAAGACCTCTTTTTTTTTTACTGTTGCAACACTTCTTTGTGAGCTCGTCATTGCTATTCTTCTCTACCCATCATTGCATATTGCTACTCTTCTCTATTTGAACTATGGTTGTAATCGAATGGAACTCAAATCGGATGCAACAAAATTCACATTCAATCTGATTATTGAGAACCTACATCTGAATCCGATCAGCTTGGATTCGAATTCGAATCCTAACGGGCTCAAATCAAATTCGGATTTAATCTAACTCTGCTATAAATTTTCTAAAATTCTACAAAAATAAAATTTATTTATTTTTCAACTTTTATATATAATAAATTAATATAAATGTAACATACTAAATTCATATATAATATAATATAGAATATATTTTTATAATTTTAAATATAATTATATAAAATTTATATATTAAAATTAATCCAAATCCGGTCCAATTATTAATCGTATGTAGATTGTAACATCCAAATCCAATCCGATTACATAAATACATCATTTGAATCTAAGATAATCAGATCGGATGTTAGATCAGGCATTGGATTTTTGGGTATCATTGACAAACCTAGTTTGAACCACTCACTACTCCTCCGACCACTGTTGCATCAGATCGTCGATGGTAACTGGTAAATATCCATATTTCGTTTATTCTCATGCTATATTACTCTTCTCTGTTTGAACCACTTGCCACTACTACTCGTGTTTATTAATTAATATTAATATTATTTTATTAATTATTAAGTTTCAAATATTACTTTTATTAATATTAGTAATTAATATTAATTTGTATTGATATTATTAAAAATTATTAAAATTGTTGTTAAGATTATCAATTATCAATTATCAATTATCATTAATATTACTACTCGTTTTTAATTAATATTAATATCACTATTTGTTATTTAATATTATTAATTATTACTAATATTAGTTTTATTAACTATTAAAATTCTTAGCAATTTACTAATATTTTTCTATTGTGTATATTACAAAAAATAATATATTGCTTTTATAATGATTAATGACATAGATTATCTCAAATGTTGTGGTTGAGATGCATGAAATCAAATACAATGTGCAAACTGAAATATGCCACACCTTGCAGAATGCCCATGGAGGTGTAGTGTGGATCAGTCCACACATTTTTTTCCACATTGTAAAACAATTACCTTGTTGGGGTGTGGTTTGTTTTCATCACCACACTCGTGTGTGAATGAAAATACACTACCCAATTTCTCATCTACGCTATAGAACACCATCTTAGTGTTGCATAGGGTAGGGCTATCCCGTATAGTTTGTAAGTCTTTAGGTTTTCCCTTGTTAACAAAAAGAAAAGAAAAAAAAAAGAAAAGGGTCAAACACACCTCAATAGTTAGCAACATCTCATGGCAAAACCCAAACAAATCTTAATACCATCTTTAGGTTGGGTAGGCTTTGATTAGGGTTGAGGAACCTTGATTGGGTTAGATTAGAATTGATTACAATGGTTTGAAGGTTGGGTGGATTAGGGTTAGGGTTGGGATTCATCACCTCGGGTTAGATCAGGGTTGATCTTAACCTAAGCTAATAACCTAACTTGACTTACACCCCATTTCAGCCATACAGGATTACAAGGTTGTGGTTGTTCTATTTCCCTCAAATACAAAAATCTTATTAGTTTCTTGTTTAAAATTTCCTTGACAATGGCCTGGTTGACCGTTGACCTACACCAAGCTCGAAATAACTATGGACCTTCAGACTACACATACAGTGAACCCGGGCCTGGCCCTAGTTTTTATAGAGTTGGGCTAGTTGGGCCCATATTAACAATTTTATCATGGAAACTGACTCTCGAATAGACCTGTTCATGGGCCGGGTAGTCCGATGGCCTGGCCCGCACCCTAGTCGGGCTTGGACATGTAGTTAGGCCCACGGGCCTGACCTCGGGCCCAAAACACCTAGCCTAATTATATTTCGAGCCGGGCTCAGGATTTGTCAAAAAAGCCCGGTCCATGCCCGGCTCAGCACAACTAATTTATATAATATAAAAAGGACTTGAATACTCTACATCACCGAGCGCCTAAGTGCAAATAAATAGTCAAATATAAGCCAGTCAAACTCTACGAGATGATCATAAAGTACAGCAAGCGATCAAACTCGATTCTCTGTATTCAGCAACCTTAACGCGCCTTCGATGATAGCACCAAAAAACGGCCAAAGTAAACACTTTCTAAATTCTAAAGCCAGATAAGTATCTGCAGCAGTGCAGCTTTGATCTTGACTCTCGTTTCCAATGGCATTAGCATAAATTCTTACACATTTACAAAGACGTTCCAGTCCCAAGCATCTCTCTATCATCTCTGCGTCAATATAACCTGTTGAGCTTGACTTCGGGCTCAGGCCCAGGCCCGGGCTTCAGGCTTTTTACGGGGGCCAGGCTCGGGCTCGGGCCTTCAAAAAATCTGTTAATGAAAAGTGAAAGCCCGGCCTGGCCCATAAACAGGTCTACTCTCGAGCTATGGCGAAGAGGCTTAAATAGTTAAATCAAGAACTTTGGCAAGTGTTATTGGATTTGGTGGAGCTCTGTAGTTGGATCACCACTTTGATCAACAATGCTTTTGGATGACAACGGTTGCAACTTGGGTGAGCTTAGGCCCAAGGATTTATTAAAATTCGAATGGGCCTAGCCCAAGAGCCTGTACCCAATGCTGTGCAAATTTTTCAAATTGGGGTATTCGACTTGTACCCCTAGGCTGAGTAGGGGAACAACTTGGATGGGCTTAGGCCCAAGAGTTTGTTAAAATTTGAATTCTATGTAAAATTTTCAAATTGGTATCCGATTTGAACCCTTAGGCTGACAACGATGGTTTTGGTGAATCTGAATTCTCATCTTTGAAACAAAGAACGCCTGAAGAGGTTTGCAAACACGCATGATTTTATTTTATTAAAATAAAAACAACTGCCACATTAGCAAAATCATCTGGTTTTTGCTGTTGTATGAGACTATGAGTTGCATTTGTTTTTGCAACCAAAATCATTCAAATTGGCTAACACCTCCCTATTGTCAAAGACAACTTTGCTACTTTCTATAAAGCCTCGTTTGGCAGGTGTGTCTTTCCGCATGGTCTGCCAGTTATTTAGAAGTCTGGCAGACTTGCATTATAGTCTTTTTCCGTTTGGTTTGCAGGAGATCTAGGCTACCAAAAGACATTGTGCCGAAAAGACGTAGAAAGCCTATTTTGAACTATTTTTTAGAAGCTCCAGATGGATCTTTTCAGTTTTTTCAACTCATTTTCGTGCAGAAAGACACGTCTTAACCAAATGGCCTTCAGGCTGTCAAGATCTTGATGCAAAAGCTCACTATCTTTTGACTGCCAGAGCTTTCCGAAAATCTTTCAAAAAAGACTTGCCCAACGGTCTTAAATGTAAGTAGTGGAGTTGTTAGGTATTCTGAATGCTGGAACCTCTGAAAAAACAGATTGCATTAAAATTTTCTCTTGAACACATGACATAAATTTTTTATTTGTTTGCATTAAAATTACTAACTATAACACTGAACCCATTGATTTGTTTGGGTGGGCATCTCAAGAGAATATCATTATTTTCAACTTTTAACCCTCAAAGAAACTTGTTTAATTGACAAATATAGCACGAGATGTACAGTGGAATAGCGGGTCCATCCTCCTGAAGCCTTGCAAGTGTTCATTCTACACTTAGAACAAAGGATTTTACTGGAACGGCTCAATCAATAATTTGAAATCATATTAAAAAACAATAATGTTCTGTTAGATTACCTGTTGGATACCTAAGCCTTTGAATTCATTCTGACAGCTCAAGGAAAATCTGGTTGCAAAAATTCCTGGTAATACCATCACTAGTATGAATAATGATAATAATAACATCAACGATCAACAGAGTAAAAATTAGAACAGAGATCGCTGAGTCCCTTTCAAATGTAATACACACATGTATATGTATAGGGGTTGATAAACAGAAATCCAAACCTTTGGTGATGGGTGAAGCTCATTATTGAACACTGAATTCTCAGGTCTTGGTCCCAAAACCACGAGGGCTTGGCCTTGCTGACGTTGAATCGGCAAATTGTTTCCTAGATTCTGATCTCCTCTTCTTCCTTGCAGTACCAGGAGGTGCCTGACACAATTAAAAAAATGACAAGAGAACACCACCACTACTTCACAAGGACATGTTTCACAAATATATAGAGGTTATTATTACCATTAAAATAAATAACTTATAAGCTAATTACTGAAACGGTGGGAAAAGGTTTTTTTTCCTGAAACAATGGGCACCTATGATACCTTTATACCTATACAAGAGTGCTAATATTGTGTTGGATGCTTTACTTATATTTATTTTTATCGTTGGTTGGATACTTCAGCTTTTAGTGTAAATTCTGTAACCAAAAACCATATCCAGCCATGCCCTTGCTATAACATAGATGATCATAGTTTTAATTTTCATTGAACACTGGAGCAAGTTTCAGTTTTAGCAAGTTGCATCATACTCACAAACCTCAATTGGTTGCCATAACATTACTGGGGCAGAAACCCTAAGAAGTAGAGACTGGAAAGGAAAAGATCCTTTATGAATAAAATAAAATGAACATTTGGCAACCTCCACCCCCCAAAGAAGTAATGAGTAAGTGAAAAAGAAAAACTTGAAATCCCTCTGGTTGTCAAATGTGGAGACTCTGTAACTTGATGTACCTTATTAGTACAGTCCTTGTTGTATATTACTTACATCTTATTCTTCTTTTCTCTTTCAGCCCTATATCGGCATTCTTGTAATTGTACATATCTTTTAATATATATAAGAGACTCTTTGAGGTGGGGGTCATTCATTCTTGACACCTCTAAGATTATTCTTGTTCTTTTCTCTATTCGGCCAAGAGTGTTGACATGGTATCAGAGCAGGTTGCTCTCTGATCTATTTTCTCACTCTCTTGAACCTCATTAGAAGCAGTAAACCTGTCATATTAGGGCTGTCTTGATCACCTTTTCTGTTATTTCTTCTTTGTGCAACCAGCAGGAGAGATTTCTTTAGATCTCTCTTGGGAGACATTGGTTTGAGGCCAAACTTCAGATCTGGTGTCGCCTAGAGCTGATCTATTCCACCTACAAACAGCATCTGATTTGGTGAAGTTTTCGAAGGAGTTCTGATCTTCTTCTTGGGGCGGCAGCACTGTACAATTTCCTTTTTTGGACTGCAACAGCTTTGGACTTCAAATCTGGTGTCGCCTAGACATGATCTATTCCACCTACAAACAATATCTGATTTGGTGAAGTTTTTGAAGGAGTTCTAATCTTTTTCTTGGGGCAGCAGCACTATACAGTTTCCATTTTTGGACTTCAGGCCTTCTACATCAACCTGCGATTTAAGTTTTTCTCTCTAGATTGAAGGGTTCTCTCAAGCTCTCCTTAACCCTACACTCAGTTTCTGGTTTGGAGTTTTTAAGGACTGCCTCAATCAGCACAAGACACCTCCTTGTTCTTGAAGAAGACACCTGATGTGTTAGTAAATCACAGATTTCTTTCAATCAGCTAACTCGATCAACCTACAACCCTAGATCTAGTGTCGTCCTAGAGTTTTCTTGACTCCCATTCATTTGATTCAGACTTCAGATTCATATTTGAAAGGCCTTAGACTCGACAGTCTTAAAAACTTGCATTTTTTGGATTGTCATCTTGAGTTATTGATTGATGAATTTGGTTGTCTTTGGTATCCTTGTGCCTGGACTGCTGTTTTCTTGCTGAAATGGCCTCCGATAGAGTCGATACCATTCCTACAAAACTGGAAGGATCGACCTATGGAATTGACACTGTTGTTGTAGCACATGGGAGTAAAAAATCTACTACTGGTGGCGATTCTTTTGTTAAAGGTGATTCTCTGGCATCTATAGTTGAGCAAAACATTCGACAACTGGTAATATCTGCTATTCCTTTTGCTCTTTCTGCTATTGGCTTACCTAGTGAGTTTTCCAGTTATTGTGCTTCTCCTTCTCATATTTGGATCATTGACTCTGGAGCTACCAACCACATGACAAAAGCCTACCCTAACCAACCAAGTAACCTTACTTAAACCCATCACAAACATATTGTTACTGCCAATGGTGAAAAATTAAACATCATTGGTAGTAGTGATCTCTCTTAAGCTTTCACCCACTACATCTTTCCCTCTTACCAAGACCCTTCTTGTTCCTAATCTCACTACAAACTTGATTTTTGTTGGTCAATTAATTGATGAAGGTAACATTCTCATCTTCTCTCAGGATGGATGTTTGATTCAGGACCGGAACACTGGGAAGGTGAAAGGAAAGGGGCGCAGGATGGGCCGTCTATTTGCATTGGAGTTCAAGAAGCCTTAAACAACAACATCATCAGTTTATTTTAGTTCCTCCACTTCTAGTTCCTTTCTAAGTCATAGAAATAATGTTTGGGACTTATGGCATAAACGTCCGGGTCATTTACATTCTGACAAATTAAAATTTTTGTTTGATTTAGGCCTTATTAAGAACAAAGTTCCTTCCTTGCACACCTTTGATACATCTTGTGCTTCTTGTTGCTTAAGTAAGAGTCATACCTTACCATTTCCTCACATATCTGAGCATGCTACCTCTCCCTTCGAGCTTATACATAGTGATGTCTAGACTGCTTCTGTCTCTTCTCGGCTTGAATACAAATATTTTGTGTCATTCATTAATGATTGTACCAGGTACACATGGATATACTTTCTTCGCCACAAGTCCGAGGTGTTCCCAGCATTTAAGTTGTTTCATGCTATGGTGTGGGTTCGATTTCAATCACAAGTGCATATTCTCCGTTCGGATTCAGGGGGAGAATACACTAATGGAGATTTTTTATCCTATTTGAAGGACCATGGAATACAAGTGCAATGAAGTTGTCCAGATACTCCTCAACAGAATGGTATGGTCGAGCGCAAAAATGGGCATATCCTTAGTGTTGTGAGGACATTATTGCAGGAATCCCATACTCCACCTTCCTTTTGGGTAGACGTAGCCAATACAACTGTGTTTTTGATCAACTATATTCCTTCCTCAGTTCTTGATAATATGTCTCCCTTTCAAAAGTTATTTGGTCATTCTCCAAATTTATCTATGCTTCATGTTTTTGGATGTGTGTGCTTTGCTCAACTTCCCTCTCATGAACGTTCTAAATTGTCTGCACAGTCTGTCATGTGTGCCTTTGTGGGTTATAGTCTTGTCTACAAAGGATTTCTTTGTTATGATCCCTCTATTCGTCACATTCGTATATCACATAATGTTGTTTTCCTTGAGCACATTTCATTTTTTGCTGGAATTGTTAGATTGTCTGCACCGTCTGTTTCTATTTTGCCAAACTTTGATTCACAGGATGCTCCATTTCCTTCTGCTAAGAATGACTTTCTCGTCTTCTCTCGCAAGCGGTTACGTGCTCCAGCCCCTACGTCTGTGACTCTCCTTCCTCCTGGTTCAGATCATCATCCTACCACTCCTGTAAGTGATACCACTACTTCAGACACTCTTCATACTTTTGTTCCTCTTTTTCATTCTACTCATATATCTAGACCTCCTAACTACTATGGTTTTCCTTTAAACCATAGCTCTTTGTCTGTTGTCCTATCCTCCACAGATGTTCCTTGCTCCTACCAGGAAGCTAATAGTAGCCTTCATTGGAAGGAAGCCATGGGTGCAGAGATTCATGCTTTACATGAGAATGACACTTGGGATCTTGTGCCAACTCCTCTAGATGCATCCATTGTTGGGAGTTGTTGGGTTTACAACATTAAGCTGAAGTCTGCTGGATCTCTTGATTGATACAAGGCACACTTAGTTGCCCAGGGATATAGTCAGGAGTATGGTATTGACTATGAAGAAACCTTTGCTCCTGTTGCAAAGATCACCACAGTCCGTGTTCTTTTAGCAGTGTTTGTTGCTTAGTCTTGGACCATATGCCAACTTGATGTGAAGAATGCCTTTCTTCATGGTCAGTTGAAGGAGACGGTCTACATGAAGCCTCCTCCTAGATACTGCAGTGATCCTTCTTTAGTGCGTCACCTCAAAAAATCTCTATTTAGTCTAAAACATGCTCCCCGAGCATGGTTTGAATGCTTTTGCGATGTTGTAGTTGTTGCTGGATATAGCCAGAGTTCTTCTTATCACTCTTTATTTGTTAGGTGACGGCCTCAGGGTATTACCATTCTCCTACTATATGTTGATGACATGTTGTTGACTGGGAATGATGTTGAAGGCATTCGTGAATTGAAACTATTACTTCACAATTCCTTTCACATGAAGGACTTGGGCCCTCTCACATATTTCCTGGGATTGGAAGTACATCGTAGTGATCGAGGGTATTCTGTTTGTCAACAGAAGTATGTCTCTGACCTTGTTAAACTTACTGGTCTTAATGATGAAAAACATGTTGATACACCTATGGAGCTAAATCTTAAGCTATCTAAATATGAAGGTCCATTACTTCCTGATGTTGCCTTATATCGCCAGCTTGTGGGGTCCCTCATTTATCTCACTATGACTCGGCCTAATATTTCTCATGCTGTTCAAGTTGTTAGTCAATTTGTTTTTGCTCTTCGTCAGCCTCATATGACTGTTGTTCATCGCACCATTCAATATGTTAGAAGCACAACTTCCCAGGGACTGTTCTTAGAGCATATGCTGATGTGGATTGGGCTGGTTATCCAAACACTCGTAGGTCCACTTCTAGGTGGTGTGTTTTTATGGGTGATTCACTCATCTCTTGGAAGTGTAAGAAACAACAAACAATCTCCAAATCTTCCATTGAAGCAGAGTATAGGGCCATGTCTTCGGTTTGCAGTGAGATTATTTGGTTACAGTCTCTCTTTATGGATCTTGGCATTCAGGTTCCTACTCCTATTCCTCTTTATGCAGACAATACGAGTGCCATCAAGATTGCATCTAACCTTGTCTTCCATGAGAGGACCAAGCACATCGAGGTGGACTGCCACTTTATCCGAGATCTCTTCACTACTGGGTCTATATCGCTTCCTCATGTAGCCTCGGACATGTAGATTGCTGATATCTTCACCAAAGCTATGACTAGAGTTCGACATCTCTTTCTTATAGACAAACTGATGCTTATGTCGAGGCATCAGTTTGAGGGGGGTGTGGAGACTCTGTAACTTGATATACCTTATTAGTATAGTCCCTGTTGTATATTACTTTTACATTTTATTCTTCTTTTCTCTTTCAGCCCTATATGGGCATTCTTGTAATTTTACATATTTTTTAATATATAAGAGACTCTTTGAGGTGGGAGTCATTCATTCTTGACACCTCTAAGATTATTCTTGTTCTTTTCTCTATTCGGCCAAGAGTGTTGACATCAAAATCTTAAGATTTACAACACAATTCACAATTTGAAACATGAATCCCAAGGGTTTTGATTCAAATCTTAATGTCTGAATCCTTTTCTGCAAAAATCTTATGACTTTTGTTTGAATCCTATGATTTGATTCATAAATCTTACAATTTCTCTTATTCAAACAAACTCAATTAAGAATTAGTTATCTACTTTGTTATTTTTTTGTTTATATTTAGTTTTGCCAAGGGAGATTTTTTTTAAGTCCTTACTAGAAAACTATTTATTTATGTTATTTAAGACAAGAAATTGAGTTTATTTTCCATCATATGTAGGTTAAAGGAGATCACATCAGCACCCCATGGCAGGTGCCCCACATGAATTGAGATGTGCTGTGGGGTGCTGATGTAAGCGCAGGTTAAATTGTATAAGTGCTGAATTGTATTGTTTTAAGTACATATATGGTATATATAGATTAAAAATAGATTAAAGTCACTTTATATATTTAGCCTTTTAATATATCTATATTTGATTTTTGGACAAGTTTGCAAAAAATAGAAATAATCTTACGATTGGCAATACGATTCACGATTCAATTCAATTCAAAATTCTCTTCAATTCACGATACGATTACGATTTTCAAAACATTGCCAATTACAACTACGCTCATGAGATCATGCTGTTAGAACAATGTGCAATTTGGACTCTGATGTGTGTAGTGTTCATATGTTGTATTTGACATATTTCTTGCAAAGGCACAAAACTCCCCTATGAAATACAAAAATATGTTATCCTTGCATGTATGCAGGTGTAGAGAGAGGGTGAGAGACCTTTTGTTCAGCTTTAAGTGCCTCCTCAAGATTACTTAATGCAGGAATAGATCCCCCTTCCATGACCCCCATTAGGTTCTTCATACGAACACGCATTTGGAAAAGTTGGGCAACAAGTTGGCTCACCTGAAACAGTTAAATACAAGGTTAATTTATTCTCCAGTAAGTTTTTTTTTGATAGATCAAAGGAAATTGTATAGCATGAAAAATAAAAAAGGCAAACAAGTTGTTTACAAGTCAAGCTGTAAATAAGCTGTATATAAACTATGCACCACAAAGATCAACAAAAATTATTCAATCCCAGTCATATCTTAAGTTATGAAGTTGAAATCCTTGAAATCTTCTAGGATGGAAGTCTAAAAATATAGGAGAAAGAATATTTTATCTTATCACTGCTTCCTCCATAGTCCTGTGGGACCTTTTACTTCAGACTGCTCAATGGTAAAAGATATTACCAACATCTAAATACCTGCTTCTCTGTCTTCCCTGAATCTTGTGCAACTCTTTTTCTCCTAACAGGGGATTCTGCCAATAGTTCAGGCTTTTCCCTTTCCTCTGCAAAGTAAAAAAAGAAAAAGAAGACATAATGAAACAGATTCAACAGAAATTCTGACAGATATATACATTGAACAGAAATGTATACTTGTTAATTTTTTAACGTTATTATCTACTTCAGTTTTAGCATCCTAGAAAACCATGCTTAGGTTACATGTTTTAGTATAAAGGATAAATTAAATCAAGTTGCACACAATTAACAAACTAATAGAAGTCATGTGTTAATGCAAGCCAATACCCAAATGCATCTTCGAACAATAAAAGTGGAATCTTTGCAAAGCATATGAACCAAGGTTCACATAAACTAAAATTCTATCATGCAGAAAGGAAATGTGAAACTATGTTGCAGGTGATGGGAAGCTAGACTAAGCTAAATATATCTTATACTATCTACTGGTGTTATTCATGTAATCCTGATGCCAGAGTCATGGCCACATCCTATGTAATAATGCCCAGATACCTGTACAAAAGTCCATCTTGTGTCAGACAAGTTTTTAGTGTAAATTTCATACTTGACACCATGTCCAGCCACGTCCTTTCTCTCTCTGGGTAACATAGTAATACTGAAGAAATTTGAATTTAACTCTAGTCAATCCTGCTTTGAGCATGGCTTTTTAACAAATGGCACTTTGGCCCACAACATCACTTTTAATGCTTGGTGTAAGCTAGGTCTAGGAACTCCGCTGGTGTTAATTTGTCCACACTTTTTTTCTGTTATTTGGATGACAACACAATGCATTGGCACCTAGGTGCAGCAATCAATGAGCAAGGGCTCAGACTCTTGATAGAGAACAATGGCAGGGCGGGTTTGTCTTTCTGACAAATAGTTTGGATTAAGGCTAAATTGAGCTGAGTGAACCAGTCTAGGTTTATCCATTTAAGCCTGAAGTGAACAAGTCATCCATCGTAAGGGCTAAAAGGTTACTCCCAGTTTTTCAATTCAAATCTCATAATTCCAGCTTATAAGAAAAGAAAGAAAAGAAAACAGACCAGGGGTCATTGCTTCAATCATTACTTCCATTATCTTTAAGCTCTTCTCTGCTTCTCGAATTTGTGCAGGAGTCACCTGTCCCATGCATAATTCAAGGAGGGTCAAGAACATGATTCTCAGTATACCAAGAATAATTCAAATTTAAAGTTCACATATTCAATTTGTCCCAGCTTAGATTCCTATGAAACCAAAATAACCTGGAGACAGATTAATTTGTCATATCATTTCTTAACTTCATATAACAGTTTTAAAGCTTGATACACTATCTCGACTCTGAAATAAGTAATCACTGTACAGATTTTCTTGGCAACGAAAAGATAAGTTTGGCAACGAAAAGATAAGTCATGTGACTTTGTTAGGCTAACTCAGAAATCTCAACTAAGTCAAGACCAATGCAATTTATTAACATTATTTAATTATTCTTTCTAAAGTTTATTTATAGCATTTATAATTATAATTACCACATTACTGACCGATCAAATCAACTAATAAGTCCTTGAGCAAACCTGAATCAATGATCTTCCAAGTTGAGTAAAAAGATTTCATCACAAATGAAGTACAGATAACAGTTTCAGAAAAGTAAACAACAATAAAAAAGGAGAAAATGAAATACTAAAATTCAAGGAAAAATCAGACAGTTTTACCTTCCCCATGCCTGGAATCATTCCAAGCACACGTGTCATGGAACCCATCTGTGCAACAGCACGAGTCTGCTTTAGGAAGTCATTGAAGTCAAATTTTGCACTCATTATCTTCTTTTGCAATTCCTCTGCATCTTCTTGTCGCATCTAATTACAACATCCGGATCACATACACATTATGATACTATTCATTCATGGAAGATAAAATGTAACTGGTTGGACACTCACAACTTCTTGTGCTTTCTCTACAAATGAAAGAACATCACCCATTCCTAAGATGCGTCCAGCCATACGATCCGGATAGAAAGGTTCAAGGTCTTCCATACGCTCTCCCCGTCCTACAAGCTTGATTGGCTTCCCTGATACCTGCCAATGGTCCAATCATGAATTATTAAATTATGATACACTGACACCAGTACAAGGATGCTGTATCATGCAGAACACTTCAATTTTTAGTGTAAATTTCATATCCAATAACATATCCAGCTGTATCCTTGCCATATCTGGGTAAGATAGTGTTATTAAATGACTGAAATAAATTTATAATTGTTAATGTGCAGGGAAAACTTAGAAACTCAATGGACCTGAAGCAAATAATTGGACCGAATATGGATCCACCTCTATCCAATCTGATAGTATTTGAACATATGTGCTTATATTTTCATAGAATTTATATTGCACCTATTATAAAGTTGGTTTGGATTTTGTATATTTACTAAAGATTAATACGTTTAAATTTCATAGAAATTATTTTCAATTCACTTTATTCATGAAATACAATACAAGTCATTTTTAGTTCACTGTATTGATAATATAGAACATTTTGATCATATTACTATAACTTATTAATGGTATTCTGTATCCAAAATTAATCCAATTTCAACCCAAATCAGATGGATTGGATTCAAATTGAATCCATCTGATTTAGGTATATCTGATTTGATCTGTTTTTTTTTATTAAATAAAGAATCATATTCCATTAATCCAAATTCAACCCAAATCAGATGGATTAGATTCAAATCGAATCCATCTGATTTAGGTATATCTGAATTTGATCTGTTTTTTTTGGATAAATAAAGAATCATGTTCCATTAATTCAAAGATTGGTTACATGAAAATCTCCTTAGAGAGGCACGAGGTGCCACCTCTCCAAACAGAAAACACACAAACTACATCAAAGAGTACATGAATGTTAAAACAAAAGTTACAGTTGCGACCAGAACAATGTTTCCCTATTTGTCCCTTGTTTTGCCAAGACATCAGCAAACGCATTAGCTGATCTCCCAATCCACTGTACTGTTACAAACATATTCTTTGTCAGCCATTTGAATTTCTTTAACTCATTTTTGTAGCCCCATGTGGCATCCTCCAGATTATTTAACCAGTCCACCACTGTCTTAGAGTCCCCTTCAACCAGAAGCTGCTCCACACCCATTTCTTTTGCAAGAAGTATTCCTTGTATTGCAGCTAACATCTCATCTGTAATAGAGTTACCAACACCTAATGGGCCAGAGTACAGTAAGACAACCTCTCCAGCCTCATTCCTCAGTACACCTCCCAACCCAGAGGGACCTGGGTTTCCCTGGCTGCTCCCATCAAAATTCAGCTTCAATGAACCGTGAGGAGGGGGGACCCAACTAGTCAATACCCTTACCTTGGAGGAGGAACAGCTTGCTACTGATAATCAATCCCTCCAACAGCCAGTAAAGGAGAAATGGTTTAAACAATTCGAGAGTCTTTAACCAATGTATTGCCCTATACATAATGCAATCCTTCCTGGCCCAATTACTCCTCCCCTTTTCCTAGAAGATCTTGGGCATTTCTTTCTTCCCAAACTGTCCATATCAAGCCTGCTCGCCGACACTTCCACAATTTCCTTCCTCTTTTATGGGGCCAAGAGAACATAGAAGGGTTAAAGATTGTGCTTACTTCTGCTGGCATATCCCAACTATACCCAAACAAAGATAGAAGCCAAACCCAAAGCTCTACAATGACACTACAAGATAAAAATAAGTGATTACAGTCCTCACCATGAGATTTGCAAAGAGTGCACCAATTTGGTGAAATACAAGGAAAGTGACTTTTCTTTTGTAGGTTATCCGTCATGTTTACTTTATCATGCCACAGTTCCCAACACAAAGTCATAACCTTGGGGGGAACCAGCCTACACCAGACTTCTTTGGAATGGAAACTTTGTTGAGAGGATGTTTGGCAAAGGAATTTGAAAAAGGAACCACAAGAAAAAGACCCATTGGGGTGAATGGCCCAAATCCTCTTATCAAACTTCGAAGGATCCAACCAAACCTTATCAAGTAGACAAAAAGTAAACAGACACTCAACTTCCTCATCACTTAACCCTCTACAGAAACCAAAATCCCAAGATAACGCCAACAAATTTACAACCGACGGAAGGAATTTTGAGATAACCTCTTTTTTATACAAACAAACAGAGTACAAGAACGGAAAAAAGGTCTTTTAGAGGAAGATCTCCAGCCCAAATGTCCTCCAAAAACCAAATAGAATTACCAGAACAAGCATCATACTTAACACAACTAAGGAACTGCAAAAGAATTTTATGAATTGATTTCCATGGTGTTGCCAAGTTAGCCCTCAAGTGCCAACATCCCATCCATTCTCTGAGCAATCCAAGAATACCCTTCACCACTTCGTGCCAAAGTCTATCTCACTCCAGAGGCCACCTCCACAACCACTTCCTAACAAAGTTGAATTCTTTTTAAGCACATTCTTGAGCCCTAATCCTCCTTCCTCTTTACCAACAACCCCCCAACTGATTAAGTGGTCTTTTTTACCTTCTCCCGGCTCCCAAAGAAAATCCCTCATGGGAGTTGAGATAACCTCTCAAGAGGAAATTGCTAGTAGGTTTGTGGCTCACTTCAAATCAATCTTCCAAAGACCTTTGGAGAATCAGTTGAGTGGGGGAGGAGGACTGGCCAACATTGAATCAGACAAATAGGGGATGGTTAGAAAGAATGATTGAGGAAGAGGAAATTAAACAAGTTGTCTTTTCTATGGATAGAAATAAGGCACTAGGTCCAGATGGGTTTACAATGGCATTTTATCAGGACTGCTAGGACATAATCAAAGAAGATTTAACTGGAGTCATTAGAGAATTTGAGGATAAACATATTGTGAGTCATGGAATCAATGCCACTTTTCTAGCTCTAGTTTCTAAAAAGATTGATGCCAAACACCCCAAAGATTTTCAGCTAATTAACTTGGTGACTAGCATCTATAAGATTTTGGCAAAAGTACTCTCTAGGAGGATCATAGCAGTTCTCCCTTCTCTCATTAGCCAAGCACAAGGAGCCTTTATACAGGATAGACAAATTATAGATCAGATCCTCATTGCAAATGAGAGTGTGGAAGAGATGAGGAGATCTGGCAGAAAAGGCTTTGTCTGCAAATTGGACTTGGAAAAGGCTTATGCCCTAGTGGACTAGAGTTTCTTGTTGGAGGTGTTAAGAAGGCGTGGATTTGGGGACAAATGGTGTAATTGGATAAGTGGATGTTTAAATTCATGTCATTATTCAGTCTCGGTTAATGGAGTGGTTAAGGATTTCCTTCCAGCCAATAGAGGCTTAAGACAAGATGACCCACTTTCTTCTTTCCTCTTTACACTTGTTGTTGATGTTCTTAGTAGATTGATCTCCGAAGCAGATGAGGAGTGCCAAATAAAGGGTTGGAGAATAGGGAGGAGAGGCGTTTCAGTAACTCACCTTCAATATGCTAATGATATTGTTATTTTCTACAAAGGGAATGATTTAAGCAAGGTGGACAACCTTAAGAATTTAATAAGAGCCTTTGAACTTGCCTCCAACTTGAGGATAAACTTTGATAAAAGTTGTGTGGTTGGAGTAAATATGGAAGATTGGAGGATAGAATCCATTACAGGGTGTTTAGGTTGCACCACCTCTTCTTGGCCTTTGACCTACTTAGATCTCCCCTTAGGAGCTAACCTTAAAAAAAGTAGTTTTCGGGCCCCTATTGTGGAGAAATTTGATAAATGCTTGGTGGCCTGGAAAACGAATTACATCTCAATAGGGGGTAGGGTGACTTTGATTAGAGCCACACTTGCCAACCTTCCAACCTACTTCCTTTCAGTTTTCAGGGTTCCCCCAAGGGATGCTAAGAAACTGAAGAAGGTAATGAGGGAATTTTTGTGGGAACCAAGAGAGGTGAAAAAGGACCATCTAGTTAGATGGGAGATAGTTAATAAACCTAAGGAAGAAGGGGGCCTAGGGATAGGGAACATAGTGCAGAAGAATGAAGCCTTCCTAGGGAAGTGGTTATGGAGATGGCCTCGAGAGAGAGAGATTATGGCATGAGGTGGTGTCAAGTATTCATGGCTACTTAGTAAATGCTTGGGATGCCAGGATATCTCGTCGAACTACCCTTACAACACCTTGGAAGGCTATACATGCTATTCTCCCTCGCTTCCTCAGGCTTATCAGGTATGATGCTTGCTCTAGTGATTCTATTTGGTTCTGGGAAGATGTTTGGGTGGGTTATCAACCCCTCAAAGATCAGTTCCCTTCACTCTACTCTCTCCCCCTTTACAAAAATGAGCCAATTGCAAATTTTCTTTCGAACCCGTTTATTCACATGTCTTTAAACTAGGACTTTGGATTTCATAGGGGATTAAGGGATGGTGAGTTGATTTGTGTCACTAAGCTACTTCATTTACTTGAGTCAATTTGTTTGGACCCCACATCTTCTGATCAAAGAGTTTGGACTCCTCTTCCAAAAGGTATGTTTACTTATGCTTCTTTTCTAAAATCCCTCAGTTCCAACTCCAATTCCCAAGTGTTCCCCTTTAAAGAAGTTTGGGCGTGACCTATTCCTCCAAAATATGTTGTATTCTACTGGGAAGTCTACTACGGGAAAATCAATACTTTGGAAAACTTGCAGAAAAAGAGACCCTTTCTTTGTCTTTCCCCGAACCAGTGTTCCTTGTGTAAGGCTCAGAATGAGGACTGTTTCCATTTGTTGATTCCTGCTCCGTTGCTACAACCTTATGGAGTTGGAGCCTTGGTTTATTTGGAGGTAGGTGGTCTCCGCCATCTGATGTGAGTTTGTTATTTAACCCATCTATTTTTGTATGGCACACTAGAAGAGGCAAGTTCATGTGGAAATGTATCAGGGCAGCCACCTTATGGACTCTCTGGGAGGAAAGGAATGCAAGAGTCTTCTTAGAGAAGGAAAGAAGCTTGGATGAAGTGAAGGGCTGTATTCTAACAAGAGCAATACATTGGTTGAAAACCTTAGATATATTTGCTAATTTCTCTTTTGATGACCTATGGAGGAATTGGTTAGTAATAGCTAATACTTCTACAAAGAAGAATAGA